CATTTTGTTTTCTGACTTCCCTGTCCTACTTATGACGGCCGCTCGAGGGGCGTCACACGGGTTTTCCTTGGGAATATCTTCCAATAGATCTTCCACTTCTGTTGCTACATCACAAGGAAGATGCTGGACAACATAGGAAAATTGCGTGGCTTGGGAAGTGATGCGTCGGGTGTTAAAAACGGCCTCCACCTGGTGAAACCATACCCTGGGGTCGCTTGGATTGTAGTCTGGTAAACGTATGCTAATTGCCTTCTCCAATAAATCCGCTGAATCAAAGTGTGCCTCCGTAATTACCTGGCAAAAAAACAAAATTACGACGACTTGAAAGGAAAAGATTTCAAAAAATATTTAGAAATAATCGGGCTTAACATATTTTTAGTGATCTGGCTACCCAATAAGTTAGTTTACCAGGAGTGTGTGGCAAAGAAATAAAAATAATTACGCTAGTTTGGGTATACAAAAATAAAGAAATGAAGAGGTCAGGTGGAACAGACTCACTAACAATTGTTCTCTTTAAAATAGTTCGTCGTTGTCCCAGCTCAGCGAATAAACAGTAATCCAATTATGTTGGTCCAGAGGTCTTCTTCTGAACAGTTCCCACATTTAATAGATTCCGAAAATGGTCTGCAATGTTTTAGTACCAGAGTTAATACATGAGGCTCGCAAATGACCACTGCAAGCGCGAGCGAAATCAGACGACAGAGTCGAGGCACGTGACCACGCCTGTATTATGTGAAATTGTACAAGTGCACGTTTTTGTAGTTTTTCGTACTCAAACAAAAACCGATTATGCAGTTGATGAAATACGTAGTGTTATAATTCGTTATCTGCATACGTATATATATATATATGTCCTCGAGACTTTGGCTCCCTTTTTGCGTATATGCCTGGCACATACATCAATGACTGAAAATTGAAATACACACCAGAAACTTATGCACTGAGGTTAGTCTATAGACAAGTTTCAACTAAAGTTCGATGCATTTGGGAGCTTTCTGGTATAAGTAGACATGCAAACATATACCATATTTTCGCGGAAATTATCCTTCAATATTTTTGGGTTTAATGGAAATTCGCATATATAAGTGAGGATTGGCATCCCCGGAATTCTCTACTACCAACTTCAAATAAAGCCGGCATCGACCTGCATCCATATCACAAACAATCGATAAAGCAACGCATAAGACTTAAGAATATCGTGAATCTTTCTCCATGTCATTTCCACTCTATTTCGCGCTCGCGTTGGTCGGTGGTTTTGTTTATCTCTCTTGGTCCCCGTTGGCGTATTATTTTCAAATGTAGTCGACGCTTGACCGGTCCACGTTTTCCCGTTCCGCATTTGGTTTATTCTCCGGATGTGAGGATAATTATGTGCTGCTTTTGTGCAAGCGAACTGTAGCCTGACATAAGTGTGGCCTTAAAACCACGGGCAACTAGAAAAGCCACAAACAGGCGCGCAAAGAGTCCTCAACTGCTGTTTAGGGCAGATGGTGACGACACTTCTGGGTGAGCTGTGCCACGCAACAAGGGGAGTGCTGTCGCGTGGTAGTGCTGCCCTCCACTTGAACAACTTTCCTTCGTATCCCCGCCCGTTGTTGGGGTGGAAGGCGTAAACTGGTGCAGTTGAACCGCTTTCAAAAAGTGGGTGGTTTGGGATTATGCTCTTTAATACGTCCGTACAGATCTGGTACTTCTATGCGTCTTTCACAGGCCAAAGACCGGCAGTCATCTTGACCGTTTACTACGTTCAGTATGTTAGTAGTCCTTTCCTAACCTAGCTTGAACCACCTGCTGAGCATACTTCAAAGTTGTTCTGGCGTACACGGCATGCGGCACCTTGAAACATGCGGGCGCTAGTTAGGGGAAGGAACATTCGATCATCTTGACATTGCGTACCTTTTGTGCAGTTTTCTTGTGGTGGACTGAGAAGTGTATGTTGGAAAACAGCTAGACGCCTAGATCCTTTTACGGATCCAAGGTGGATATTACTGAATGTCCTCCAGCACTATACAGCATGGAGTCGTCTCCATGCTAGCCACCGAACGACATATGTACGCAAACGGCAGTCTGGCGCCCAGCGTTATAATGCATTCCAGGAGTTGAGGTCTTCAGCGAAGAAGACGATTGGACCCACCGTAACTCCCAGCGGATGATTGACGTGAATTGAAAAAAAAAACAGTGGCCCGAGGCAAAATTAAGGGACTCTCACGTGCTGACGAGGTAGAGGAGTAACTACCTAGATTCACCCGGAAGGTCAGCCATGGATGAAATGTCTCGGTCCACCGCAGTACTGCACTTTGTCGTATCATTTGGGCTTATGTAATCTGGGGATGTGGAGATCGGGGGCCTCCGCTAAGTCGGGAAATGTGGCATGGGGATGGGCCCCTCGGCCTTTACTTGTGTCAAACATCCATAAGAGCATTTTCAAAATGCAAGAGCGGCTGGGTATGAGTCTGCGTTGCACCGGCGAATCTAGGTTGACCTAAGGCTGTCATTGTTGTGGTGGTTGGACTTCAGTGCGGCAATGATCCTGTGGGTTGCAGGTACTGCAAATTACTTCCATAGGGTTCAAACGCACCCGAACGGTGAACGGGGAGAAGCCCGACAAAACAGCGCGTATCCATCCTGTGACAAATAGCATAATTTTACGATCTAGGCGTAAAGTCTTGGTGCCCTTCGCGATAGGAGTACAAAGGCAGTAGGTCTACATCAGACAACCAGCATTTCCATATTCATGGAAGCAGTGGTGATGGCTTCCCCCGAAGAAGAACGGATTCCCAAAGGCCCGTCATGAAAGCCGCACGCTCTGATCACCCAACGGTTGACGGTGACCGCCGACGCATTATTCAATAAAGATGATCGTTCAGCTGTAATATCCTTTCGGTGCCTAGCCGTCATGTCTTCAGAAGGAAGCACGAGGGCTGGGATACTGCCAGGTCGCCCATGCCTAGACAGGGGAAGTCGAGAGGCAGAGGTCGGGTTCGGACCACGGACCTTCAATGTGGTCGAATTATTCCTGAAACCAAAATGCATGGAGCTGCTCAGGGTGCATGCTATGACAGCTGCATAATGAGTCATGTAGTTGTGGCGTACTGTTGGCGTCCTCGGACAGGGTCAACCTCTTTCAACTAAGTGGTTCGCACTGTTGCGCCATTGGCTTTGGGAAGAGCCCCTCAAGAAAACCCTACCAATCGCTACAGCGACGGAAAGACGACCACACCGTAGTATGGCGGCTTCGGCGCCTCCACAACCCACTGAACAATACTGGGAGTGTCCGTGCGACAATCGCAGGGTCTTATACTAGGTTGGTCAATGGTTGGAGGTTTGACAAATGGTCTCCTGACCTTCTGGTTTGAGGGTTGGAACATGTTTGGTAACCTGATTTACGGGAATGGCTACTCACTTGCATTTCTCTCTAAACACCGCTGCTTTGCAACTCAATCAGTTCAATTTATTGCCCATAGATCGTATACCGTAGGCACATTAGTTCCGGTTACCACAGTTTCGGTCATCAGAAAACAGGAGTGTGGGAAGTACACCAGAGCCTTCAACGCGATGATACGTCTGGTTAGTTCGGATAGTTCGCCTTAAAAGCGATAGCTTTGATGCATGAGCACCATTGACTGCGCGACCGGGCCATTTCTGCCGATGTTATTAGTGACTAGAGTCCCGGGGTCCCCATCCGGGGAGGCGTTAGCTGTCGACCCGACTCAGTTTACTGGTTGCGGTTTTCACAATTTGTTGGAGCGCAAATTTATTGACCAGGAAGCCCGTGGTTTGAACCCGACCTCCGCCTCTCGAATTCCGCTGTCTAGGCTTGGGTAACCTGGCAATGCCCCAGCCCTCGTCCAACCTTCGGGTGGCGTGGCAGTAATGGCAACAAAAGGGTGCTGCAGTTGAACGAACGAAATCAATCTTCAAGCCTTGACGGCCAGCCTCTGGCTAGCTATATGTGCGCACTCTGAAGCAGCCAGGAAAAGCTGTTCTTGCTCTAACACGACTCGCTTGAGATCAATCTGTGTTGTGTATCAGAAACAGGAATTCAAGACAACTACAGTGGTTGAGCTAATTACCCCATCGCCTTCCAATCGGTTCCGGCTACGAAATAGCCGACGCCATCAAAGACGGGTTTAGTGATGCCCTGAGCGCCCTGGTGCGGCGACCTAGAAAGTCATATCGTGGTGGTTGCCGGAGATATGAATGCACAAGTGGGCAGGTTTAGCGTATCGGAGACTCAATTAGGAGGACGACATGGATTGGACTCGTTACGTACTGACACTGGTGAACGATTACTTCAGCTATGTGCTGATCGCGGGCTGTTTTTATACAGTACGAACTTCCGAAATAGCCGAAATCGTCTGGCCACTTGGTGTCCTCCAACGGCAGGCTGGCCACAAACTCAAATCGACCACATTGCCATCAGTTACCGATGGCACGGATCCATAACTTACTGCCGGTCGTTTTGGAACACATTTGTGGACTCTGACCACTCATACTGGGACGAGATTGCCACCTCTTTGCATAGTGCTGGGAATTTTTTCGTGGCACGACCCAACCAGGCGCACCCAAGCACTGGATATCAGACCGAACGGTGGCACTACTTAAATCTGGAAGAAATATCCCAGCCGGTCCCGCGATGCGAAGAGTCATCATACGTCAAGTGAAAGTGAGCTTGCAATCCGACCGTGAGGTATGGTGAGCACAGAAAGTCAAAGAAATGGGAGAGGCCCAGAAAACCGGTAATGCCCGAAGATTATTTCAGTTGATCCCTGTGACCGGTCCCCAGAAACCACCTGTGAGTGAAACCATCGAGCATCAGAATGGGACGGCCATCTCGAATAAAGAAGAATGCCTTGACTGGTGGGCTGAATACTCCGAACAACTGTCGTGGCCACCAGCCAGCACTCATCTAGATCCCACAGGTGAAGTAGAACCCTGGACGGTGAACGTGGAACCACCTACGGCCTCGGAGGTTTACGACTGCATATGTTCTCTCAGGCGCCACCGAACTCCTGGTCCGGATGACCTTCCACCTGCACTGTTCGAAGACGGGTGAACTCCTCAGTCAGCGCTTGTCTGATCTGTTTGCTTGCATTTGGGAAACGGAGCCTGTCCCAGACAACTGGGGTGAATCGGTGATAGTGTCCGTTTTCAAAGAAGGCGCGCGTAGTGAGTATGGTAACCACACGGTGGTCAGCTTTACCCCGGTCGTAACAAGACTGTTGGCGTCAATTGTGCTTCGTCAATTGGCTCGTGAGACACTGACTCGAGAGCACCCAGCGGGATTTCGGCCTGATATGGGTTGTGTTGACCAAATCTTCACACTGCGTCAGGTGCTAGAACAGCGCCATACGTATAAGCGACCGACAATTCTAGTATTCCTGGATTTCCGAAGCGCATTCGACTCGGTTGATCGGTCTGTTCTTCTTGAGACGCTTGCGCACCAAGGAATGCCCCGGAAGTTTGTAAACAAAACCCTGGTGTTCAAATAGCCTGTGAAGAAAACCTTATCGATCTGGAATATGCAGACGACATCGTTCTCATGTTCGAAGAGACGGAGAAGGCGCAAGTATTCTTGGATGAACTGACCAAAATCATTCCGTCCTTTGGTATGCTCTTTGCACTTGAGACGTTTAGAATGAGTCCGAGAACGAGTTAGAACAGAGTTGGGGTTTTCGAGAATAAGCAACTTTTTACTTGTCTAAGAACAAGCGTACATGAGCTGAAATGAACATACAAAGGCTCAGTAAGAGGATATATGGTAAGTATAAAAATAAGCACACAAAAATCATGACATTCATCCTGACAGTGTTTGAATAGGCACATATGAACTGACGTAGACAGGAGGTGATGTACTAAATCAAGCTTCTCTGTTCCTCAAACTGTAAGGATGAATACGTCGCTGTTGTTCTAGAATTCCAGGATAACTCGGTTGGTGTTCGGAGGACAGTACCGAAGAAGATTCAGATGCTTGAGAGCTATTGGGCTGATGTCCGGTTATTTCACTCGTATCTGGGTGTTCGGTATCCCCATAGGATTCAAACATTGAGAACATTGTCAGTTGTATTCTGAACCGCTGGGGCTAGACGGCGAAGGGACACGATTTCGACTCTTCCGTCTCGATGGGCAATGTGTACGTAGTGTGGGTTGCAGTTCAGAAGGTCAACTTCTACTCGTGGTTGGTACTTGAATGACCTATCACCTCGTTGCAGCAGAACTGGACCAGTGATGGTCAACCAGGATTGCAACGTTATTTCAAATGTTGAGCGACGTGCGTAGTGGAACAAACGTTCGTGTGGAGTACAGTTAGTGGCTGTACATAACAATGATCGGTGGCTGTGTAGAGCATCAGGGAGTACCGATTCCCAACGAGAAGGCGGGAGATTGTGAGATTTCAGCACTAAGCTTATTGTTTTCCAGAGGGTACCGTTGAGACTCTCAACTTGACCGTTACACTGGATTATAAGCCGATGTATGACTCATAGCAACACCTTTTCCCAGAAGAAAGCTATTGATCTCAGACCACATGGACGATGAGCCTCTGTCGGGATGGATATAGCCTGGCATTCCGAACAGACAGAAGATCTGTGAGGCAGTCAATCACAGTTGCTGAGGTTATATCCGCGCACCCAAATGCAAATGGGAATCTAGAGAACTCGTCAATTATTGTGAGTAAGTAGCGGTTGCGTGTATTAGATGGCAAAGGACCTTTAAAATCCAAACTCAGACGTTCAAAAGGTTGTGTTGCTTTAATGAGTCTACCAGAGGATTTCCAAAATCTTGGCTTCAGTTCAGCACACACTTTGCAGGAGGAAATGACGCGCTTGACATCGTCGACGGAGTAGGGGAGATTCTTG